AAGCTGAAATATCAAGATCAAAACATGGTCATATGTCCAGCTTTTATAAGTGCCTTTGTGAGCTTCATGGCTAAACTGGGATTATAGCTTGTTTTCTCCAGTTACAGTTACTTTAACATAATATGCTACCCTGACTTTAGGAAGTGGCATTTGCTTAAATATAAACTTCATTATTAGACAAAGACTGAAATTATTCACCGTATTAACAATAACCGCAAAAGTTTTATCTATATATAAGTATAAAGAGTGTCATCTAACCTGACTGCAGGGAAATTCTGTGATAAGGAGAGAAGGCCTGGCAATGGGGTGGTTACATCGTGCTTCTCTGGGGATTGAAAAACTTTACTCCCTGGTTTGAAAAGGAGAGGAAAAAAAGGAAATGTGTTAAGGAAAAAGAAGAATTTTGATGGCATACATTTCAGAAAATGGGAATAGACAGTCCAGACAATTGTTGAAAAGAAGGCCAATACAAATTAGACTGAAAGCTATTGAACTGCATCAACCTGCTTGGTCAAATACAGACATATGCCCACACCCACACATACACACACAAACACACTGTCCATCACTAAAAGTTGGGCTGGAACTATTTCAGAACTGATAGTGGCACGTTTACTTATAGTGATGAGCCACAGTCTGTTTGAAGGTGATTCTACAGAAAATATGGGAGGCTTGATTGATTGACTTTACAAACAATCCTCATAATGAATATGAATATTATTTATCATATTACTACATAATTATTATATGAATCAAGGATATTAAAATAATGAATTTAAATGAAAAGTGGGGGGGGGGAAATCACACAGTTCTTATTCACTATTTCAGATCTGCAGATTGTTCTAATTGTTAGGAAATTTCTCCTTACTTCTAGACTAATTCTCTCCTTACTTCTAGACTAATTCTCTCTCCTCTTCTAGACTAATTCTCTAGACTAATTCTCTCTATTGCTTCTTGTTCTGCCTTCAAGTGCTTTGGGGAATAGGTTGACCGCCTCCCAGCAATGTTTAATTAAGATCCTAGGTTGTTGCACTTACCGTAAAGCTTCTGGATTTCAGCATGATCCTCCATGTGCAACTGGTATTGCAATGGGTCTCCTACAGGTCCCCGGTAATATGGGCGCATGATAGAGTTCTTGGAAGATGAATGTGCTAAGCCAAGGCTGTGGCCAAATTCATGAATGGCCACAGCAAAAAGGTCGGTGCCAAGGTCATCTGTCAAACAATGAAAATCACTGATTGAGTGATCCAGACTGAGTCTACAAAATGAGAGAAGGCATCACAAATAACACAGCACAGGATCAAAAGGACAGCAAAAACACCATCCTGTCCAATAGATGATGGGCCTGGGTTGCATCAGAGGGCAAATCTTTAGATACAGGATAACATCTCAGCCTGCTTAGTGGATAGAGGAAAAGTCAAATTGGCCAGACTAGCAAAATAGTTTTATTTATATGTTGTTATTAGTTGCAAAGTTGTGTCCAACCCACCGCGACCCCATGGACAACATTCCTTCAGGCCTTCCTGTCCTCTCCCATCTTCTGGAGTCCATTTAAGCTCACGCCTACTGCTTCAGTGACTCCATCCAGCCACCTCATTCTCTGTCGTCCCTTTCTTCTCTTGCCCTCAATCTTTCCCAGCATTAGGCTCTTCTCCAGTGAGTCCTTCCTTCTCATTAGGTGGCCAAAGGACTTGACTTTCAACTTCAGGATCTGGCCTTCTAAAGAGCAGTCAGGGTTGATCTTCTCTAGGACTGACCGGTTTGATCGCCTAGCAGTCCAGGGGATTCGCAGGAGTCTTCTCCAGCACCATAGTTCAAAGGCCCAATTCTTTTGCGCTCAGCCTTTCTTATGGTCCAACTTTCACAGCCATACATTGCAACTAGGAAACCCATGGCCTTGTAAAATCCGTATTTTTACTTTTTGTTTTCCAACACTGGTTTCCACCAAACCTTTCCCACACAAAATTAGAAAGACAAATTCTTGGTGGAAGTCTGAGAGCACCATCCAAAAAAAAAAGATGAAATGGTGGGAATAAAGACATGATGATGGTCAAAGAAAATAATATTTTTTGGTTGAGGTAGAAATTAGGAGCCCTACTTTGGAAGTTTGAGAAAACAATGAAAAATCCCTGTGATAAGAGAACTACATCAGAAAATGCATTAGGGAATGTATATGTTGACTTTACTGTGCTTTTTTGTTTGATGGTTACCCTACCTCCATGTCACAAGTTCAGCCACCTCCTCAGGTTCATTGTAGCTCCTTTTGGACACTCACTTGAACCCATAGAGAGGTCAGCATGGGGGAGAAAAGTACATGCAGCCTTAAAGTCACTCAGAGGGTCTACTCACATTCAAGGCAAGACAAGTACAGTTGACCTTCAGACTTTTAGATAAAAGTGGGGTGACAGGAGAAGACAAGAGCAGGATTCTATGCATGGACCCATTCTCCATCCAATGTGAGCCTTCCATGCAGTCAGGCAAACACCTGAACAGGTTTACAGTTCTTAACTCTTCCACTATGAGAGAAAGTCAAATTACCTGGTGAGCGGAAAGTCCATTCTTCGTCCCCATCAAAATGGACAGTGCCAGCCCTCAGGGGGTCTCCGGGAAAGAAAGCATGGGCCACCATCCCACCAGGTCCATCAAACGGATAGTTGTCATGGTGATCTAAATGGAGGAACTCCACAGAGATGTCAGCATTGTGGCCGCCAACCTCATGGAAGGTTAATGGTATAGCTTCACTCCAAACCTTTAGGGCATAATAGATCAATACTCTCATCGTCTCTCGGCTGAGACGGGCTCTTTGGGGGTAGCTCTTCACCCTACAGGAAAAGTAAGATGGATTTGCACTAATCCTAAACTAGGTTTAATGAAACACAATTCCTGGCTTCACATAACACACCATACCCCAAACAAATAGACTTTATAATGGCTTAACACGATGCCCAGGTTCACTTAGCAGGCGGACTCCATTGCTGGATTCATCTAACCATAATAAACCACCAGCTGCCCATGTCCATGTTAGCCTAATTGTCTGAACCCTGCCACTGAATCTTTGTACAGGGTACAATTCTTTTCTTAGTCTATTTTCCCACCCAATTAGTGTTTCTCAGCCTCAGCAATTTTAAGATGGGTGGCTGAGGAAGGCTGGGAGTGGGAAGTCTACCCCTCTTAAAGTTGCCACAGTTGAGAAACATTGCATTAAGCCTACATGTGGATACCTACTTCCAGGAGATGTTTCTTTTAGTCCAAACTGAATCAACGCTGCGCCTCTTCCGATTTTTTTTCCTCTGCCATCTCTTCTTCCTTGCCCTTGACGTCAAAGAAAGATTTGGGCGGATGTGGGGGATAATATCAGGCAAGGCACAGCGAGGCATCCGGATCAGACTCAGCGTGGCATCATCTGCAAGAATTCAAGGGAAGGGAAAGAAAACACCCAGAAATGTTTCACAGTGAAAAAGTCAACTAGTTCGACTTCAATTCTTCAAGGAAGTGGAACATTTTCCTAGGACAGGGGTAGGCAACCTTGGCTCTTTTATGACTCGTGGACTTCAACTCCCAGAATTCCTGAGCCAGCCATGCTAAGGGGAAAGGGAGAGGTTTCCAAGCTGAGCCATGCTGGCTCAGGAATTCTGGGAGTTGAAGTCCACGAGTCATAAAAGAGCCAAGTTTGCCTACCCCTGTCCTAAGACATACCAATTTTCCACTCTTTATTTTGCTGAGTCCATTCTGCTTTTCTATGGTGTTCAAAGAACATTTCTATGCACGGCCAAATTTCGGTCCTTGCCCTGTGTCTTTCAAATTGCCTTGCCTCAATTTCTTGGAAACAGGTAATTTTGGGGCCAGTTATATTAGCAGACAGGCTTAACCCTAAATTTCTAATGGCACTGAAGAGTCCTTTGTCCTGAAATGCACTGATGCTGCAGAGTCAGCGACATATAAATTTAATAAACAAATTCTGAAAACTAAACAGTATATGAAAAATGAACCCTAATTCTAACAGAGATATTAATATTCCTCCCCCCCCCACTATCTGTAGTGACAGATAGCAAAGATATGTATTTCCTAACAGAGCGATGTGGATAAAATTTTCCTGATAGTTTCCCTCATTTTTTATTTTCATCTTAGAATCCACTGTGGAAAACCTTTGCAATTTTGCCTAGGAGCAGAGAAATTCTTCCCTGTGTTAATTTAGCAGCTATCTCTTTCCAGCAGGCAATTAATCCTGAAAGCTGTCCTTCCAATCATCTTTATTTCAATAAACAAAACTGAGCAACAGAAGAATGCACAAAAAGAACGGTCTTCCCTACTTCATTATTTTTCTTTCCTGCCCCTGATTGACATAGGGAACATTAAAAAGAAATGTAAATCCAGACCTTCCACTCTCTCCATTTTCATTTTTCTAGCTACCACAAGTTCTAGGTAGCTCATCCCTCTGAGAATTAATATGATTTGACTATTTCTGGGAGGTGTATTTAATTACTGAAGATATTCAATTAGTGCCTGAATCTCTCAGGGATGCTACAATAACATCTTTCACTGGAGTTCATTCAGGGGACTGGACTGACCTCACATTTCTGGGTTGAGAGAGATATCCACTGCAAAACCATGGGTCCCCAAGGAGAACAAGCAAGATACTAATATCTGTCTGTTTTGTTATACCTAGAATCCCAGTTTCTGCAATGCCAGCAAAACGCTGCATCATACGAAGGGCTGTTGTCACATCTTCCCACGTCCGTAGTTGGCCTGTAGTAGGATCAGCAGGTGGAAGGTATCCATAATGTATTAACCACTCCTAAACAAAGATGATCAGTAGATAACATGAGATTCTGTAATCCTGCCTTTCCTCCTGGGAATTCTAAATTTCTTAAACTGGGCCTCTCTCATTTGCTTATACTGCTTCTTTGCCCACGCAGAAGAAAAACCACAGGGCCAATTCTTAAATACCTAGCTACAAAATTGCAGATTCTGCATTTTGCCCAAGCCCTGAAAGATGCAGCCAGATTTTTGGAATGCTTTTCTATACCAAATTGCTGGTTTTTCATTTCTTAAAAGAGTTTAGATTTCATTTATGGAATGGTGGGTTTTTAATTTATCAAACAATTGGGCTTTTAATTTGTTTTTAAGGTGCTCTCAGGGAAGAAAAAATATCTCACTACCTTTCACGAAAGCCAATTCTCCAACTCAAGGGTGTTCAATCTCAGCAACTTTAAGAGAGGTGGACTTCAACTTCCAGAGTTCCCCAGACAGTTCCCTAACTGCCAGTTAGGGAATTTTGGGGAATTGAAGTCCACATTTAAAGTTACTGAAGTTGAGAATCACTAGTCTAATCAATGTCCTCAATCACCCAGAGAAGATCTGCAGCACAGAACTGGCTTGGCTTTCGCCATTTTGTAGACCAGGGATTCTCAACCGTGGCAACATTAAGACTTGTGGACTTCAACTCCTAGAATTCCTCAGCCAGCTTTGCTGGCTCAGGAATTCTGGGAATTGAAGTCCACAAGTCTTAAAGTTGCCAAGGTTGAGAACCCCTGTTGTAGACGCACCCATCTTCTTAGTGTCTATGGAGATTCTCAGTCATCCAGGTCATGGTTGCCCCAAAGGTGTTTTTTCATGAGGCAACTGGACTTGCTTGTTTTTCTTGCAAGACGTTTTGCTTCTCATCCAAGAAGCTTCTTCAGCTTCTCCAGAGCTGAAGAAGCTTGGAAGAGAAGCGAAACATCTTCAAAGAAAAACAAGCAAGTCCAGTTGCCTTGTGAAAAAGCACCTTTGGGATATCCATGGTCTTAGGTTTTCTCAACCTTGGCAACTTTACAATGTGTGGACTTCAACTCCCATAGCTGGCTGGGGAATACTGGGACTTGAGGTTCACACGTCTTAAAGTTGCGAAGGTTGGGGAACTCTGTCTTAGATGTTACAACTCCCCAGTTTTCAGTCCCCGAGTTTTACCACCTTCAGGTTTGACTTACAATGACTTCTCCACTGGCATCAGTGGGCGTGGGGGCAGGATTGAGGCAGGATGAGGAAGACGGTAGAAGCAGACAGAACAGAAGGCAGTGTAGAGAGATGGCAAGTGGCTTCGTCCTTTGTTTTTCCTCCAGGTGCTGTTGCTGAGGCTGTCTGTGATATTTCTTAGGAAAACACACTTTTCCAGCCTCCATCCAGGTGCTGCTCACTGTTTTGGTGAGTTCACCACCGCTTCCAATTCTGGAAGGGGAAAAAAAGGATTCCTTTTTTTTCTGCAACCCAGCTAAGCTGGTTTATTTTATCTGGGGGGGAAAAAAAACCAAATGTATATCAACTCCAGTTCCAGAAGGAAATCAAGGAAGGTTGCTCTTTTGTTCCATGAACTGGTAATTTTTTTTTGTATTTGACCCAAAGCCTCTACCTTATCACTAGCCACGAGAAAGTGGCAAAAATAAGTGACAACCTTCCTAACGAATTATTTGACAAGTATATGATTTGATTAAATTATTTGACAAGTATATGATTTGATTAAATCTTCTTCCTAGCCAGATGTTTTGAAACTCATCCCTGCTAACTTTTACTTATCCTACTTTATCTAAGGAATTCATTGCAGTGGAGATAGCAGGCCAGCAGTTTAGTGGTTAAGGTACTTGCCTAGAAACCAGGAGACTGTGAGTTCTAGTCCCACCTTAGGCATGAAAGTGGGCTTGGAGACTTTGTGCTAATCACCAGGAGACTGTGAGTTCTAGTCTAGTCCCACCTTAGGCATGAAAGCTGGCTGGGTGGACTTTGGGCCAATCATCAGGAGACTGTGAGTAAAATTAAACTGCTCTGGGACTTCAGAATTCAAACAGACAAGCACCTGCAACATAACACCCCAGACTTAACAATTGTCGATAAGAAAGACAAAAAAGTCTGGATAGTGGACGTGGCAGTGCCTGGAGACAGCAGAATAGACGAGAAAGAACTGGAGAAGATAACAAAATACAGAGACCTACAAATAGAAATAGAAAGANACTGCTTCCATCCTGCGACGATATCTGTAATACCATCAAACATCCACATCTGCCTATCCCAGGTCCTGGGAAAGGACTCGATAGGTAGACAAAATGCCAAATCCAGTCTGAACATCTGGCTGACTGTGCGATGATCCATAATAATAATAATAATAATAATAATAATAATAATAATAATAATAATAATAATAATAATAATGATGATGATGATGATGATGATGATGATGATGTAGTAAAGTTGGAAGGGACCTTGGAGGTCATCTAGTCCAACCCCCTGCTCAGGCAGGAAACCCTATACTGTTTCGGACAAATGGCTGTCCAGTCTCTTCTTAAAAACTTCCCGTGTTGGAGCATTCACCGCTTCTGGAGGCAGGTTGTTCCACTGGTTAATTGTTCTAACTGTCAGGAAATTTCTCCTTAGTTCTAGGTTGCTTCTCTCCTTGATTAGTTTCCATCCCTTGCTTCTTGTCCTGCCCTCAGGCGCTTTGGGAGTTGAAGTCCACAAGGCTTAAAGTTGCCAAGGTTGGAGACCCCTCCTCTAGTGAACCCATTGCTTTTAGCACGTATGATGGAGCTTGAGTGCCACAGGATTTCAAGACAATGGCACTCAGTTTGTGCCTTCTCTGTGACTAGCACACCCTTGTATGTTCCACTCAGAGTTATTATCCTACGCAGAAGCAGGCAAAGTGAAGCCGTGGGCACCGATATGCTATGGATGCTTCTTTCGAGTTCAACTGTGCTTGTATTTCTTTTATAGATTCTTTTAGCTGAAAATGAGTATATGCGCTACTCCATAAGCAATCTTAAAACCAAAAAAAACCCCACCCCTGAAAAGAGTGTTTACAGCCCAGGGCTTGGCTTTGCTCAGTCACCCAGAAGGAAAATCAACCCAGAAAGTGAAGTCATAATAGCTGAGAGAATTCTGTGGGGTGAGACAGAGAGAGCCCTCTCTTTTGTCTGACTTTTGGTAGATGGATGGCTAACTTACAACAAGAATGTCTGTGGAGGGCGGGGGTGCATTAGAAGCCCATCCCTTTCAGGGGCATGTAGAAAAAGGTGGGGTTGAATCCTGCAGGTGGCATCTTTTGATTATTTTGTGATCTGTCCCTCCCCACCATGGATATCCCTGTTTTATAGGGATTTTATTGTGGAGGAGAAGGGGGTGGGAGAGGAAGGGCTATGTACCCTGTCTTTGTGGGGGGAAGGGGAAGGGCAGGAGGAAAGGGAAGGGAAGGAAAAAAGAAAGAGGGAAAAGGGAAAAAGAAAGGAAAAGAAAAAAAGGAAAAGAAGAGAGAAAGGGGAGAGGAGAGGAACTCAGAATGAAGTTTACAAAGACAGGAATTCTATCATTCCATTGTAGGCATCAGAGTTAGAACAGATTTAAATTCAGTGCCATTGCTTCCCTCTCTGAGAGCCAATTCTTTGTAAAATATGCAGGGTCCACGTCCTAAATTTTCTGCAAGGACAAGGAGGAGACTTGCATTAAAACTGTCACTTTAGTAATGGAATACCTCATTCATCAGCTGCGCCCAAACAGCCCATCTGTGCTCTTGTATTACTGTTTGCTGGAGAGGCTGCTGTCTTAAAGATGCTTGGGGATGTCGGTCTGGATCCCTTTCAGGGACACGGAACCCGTCCACATCTCTCAAACCGATATCAGTCTTTAAACCCTTTCACCATCCTTCTGCTTTTTCCAAGTCCATAAATTTTGCAATCACTTTGAGGCTTAAAACTAACAAACAAACAAAAAGGAGAGAGAGATCTACAGCATGCCTCTTTTTGATTTAACCCAACAAGCGGGCAGAAATGATCTATTTTGCTTTTTTAAAAAATGTAGAAAATAGCTTTTTCAAAAAACAACAACAACGATTGTTCCGCTTACATTTCAACAACCCCTTTCCCCTTGTTCCCTTCTCTCTGGTTTCCGAAGTGCCCCTCCTGTTTTTTTTAGGAAGGCTGGCAATGACAAGGAAGGTAGGAAGGTGATGCTCTCCCATCTTTGAAGAGGGGGGGCTCCTACTTACCTGTCCGAATGTCCCCCAAAGAGCAAGTCCTGAAGGATCCCCAAGAGCAGCTTTGCTCCAGTTCTACTTTTCCTTGGAAGCAGACTGGGGTGGGGCGGGAAGGGAAGGGAGACCAGCGGCAATTCTGTTTGTGGCAGGGAGGGGTCCTTTGAAGAACTTATCCTTCCCAGAGGGACCCAAAGAAACCACGTCCCACTCTGATCTTCCAGGGCTGGTGAAGGTGCAATTCCTCTAATCTGCTTTGCCCCATTTAACAAGCAACTTGAAAAGATTTTTTGCTTTACTCTCCACTTTCCTCTGGCTGCTGACCATCTAATTTCCCCCTCCCTCAATTCACAATCTTCCTTCCTTCCTTCCTTCCTTCCTTCCTTCCTTCCTTCCTTCCTTCCTTCCTTCCTTCCTCCTCCTCCTCCTTCCTCCTCCTCCTCCTCCTCCTCTTCTTCTTCTTCTTCTTCTTCTTCTTCTTTTCTTCTTCTTTCTTCTTTTTTCTTTTCTTTTCTTTCTCACCGAGTGTGCAGCATGTGCACTTAAGGACCTGTGATTATGCACAACACACTCACATCCACACCCCCTCTCACCTCTTGGATCTCTTCAGAGAAGCAGCCCTCCCTTTTCCTCTTTCCAAATCCACATGGCTTTTCTCTCCGGACAGCCCACCTGTGAATTTGGAAACTCACTCAGAGCCCTTTTGTTGGATCACGACACAGATGGCATCCCCAGCCACAGACACCCCTCCAGGCCTCCTCTGGCCACTTGCTAGACCCCGCTGCTTTCCACCTACCTGACAGAAGTCTCGGCTTCCCAAAGGCTTCCATCGGACTGAGGACTTTGTCTCTTCCACCCGCCAGGGAGGGGCAGCACAGCGGAGAGGGAGGAGGGAGGAGTTGCCTGCAGCAGTGAGGGGCTGAGGATTGGGCCCCCAAGACCTCCTCCCAACACCGTTGCATCTCATGCAATTGGCCATAGGGAGCAAGGACAGGATTTTTTTTTT